ATTAAAATGTGAAAATGAAGAGAACAATATCCCTTTTAGTATAAAACTCCAAAAAGAAATGATAAATAATGTGATATTTTTGCTTGATTAGCAGTCTCTAAGTCACGCAGCAGTTTGAATTGTCAAGGATACTTTGGTACCTGGTGGCCAGCAACCATACACAGTTTGATGACGGATAGAGCCATTACAGGAGAAAACGTCATAAAACTCATTTCAACTGCTATTTAAGCCAGCTATAAAAGTGATGATCAGTTCAATTAAAATGTAATTCAGTTTATTTATACAGCGCAAGCTGACAGCAAATAACATCTTACAAGACTTTACAAGAGCAACAGACCGAATTTAATAAAGACAGAGCAAGCATGCATTAACAACAACACAGCAGGTGAGTTTGTATGAGATCTCTTGTTGCGAGAGACGGAGGTGGACGGAATATTTCAAACATGCCACAGAACTCATTGTTCTCCGCTGCCTTACTCTGACCTTCCCTCCTCCATTAGTTTCTGTTTTTGATGAGAACGCCTGCCTTGAAAATAAAGGAACGCGGCCTAATGAATGTGTTTTCTGCATGGCGGAAAGCAGTGTGTTACTACGCAACACATCAGCTGCAAAGATATTCCTGTAGCGAATTTTCATCTGCCATCTGCCTGCTTCCCCCCTCTCTCTCTGAAAATCTATGTGCTTCGTCTTCTCCTCTGTCTCTTCTTCTTCCCCCTCCATTTGGCTCACATATTCCTGAGCTTTTGATTCTGAGCAGTTGGGAAATGGTGCTGCTTTTCAGGAAAAGTAAATATGTGTTCTCTCCTAGTTTGCCGTCCTTCCTGCCTTGATATGTTGACTGTAAAAGGCTCAGCGTCGTCTCTGTGGCAGGAATCAGTCTCCCGCTCTTCAAACACCGACTCTATCGCAATCCCTTCTAATTCGTGACATGGTCTGCATTGTCAGAAAGAACAACTAGGAGGTGACAATGTTTTCATCTCGTTTGACTACAGTGCTGTGTTTTCATTTCATTTTGCTATGTTTAGGTTAAATTAAGAGCCTAAGCATCTTCTAAGCACCGGTATTGTCCTTGTGAGAGTTGCACAGTTTCAGAAAAGGCCTCAGTGTGTGTCAGGAGGTGAGAGAGGGGCAGGGTTGTGTGTGTGCTTCGTGTCCTATATCTGCAACAAACTTAATTTTACTCCTTCCCCCTGTGCTCTACTAAATCCAGTATGTATCAATATGCGTGTTATGACTCATCTTGATTTATGCAGCGTACTGTACAGCAGAGCCTACAACAGTCACAACTCTTTCTATATTTATCTGACGTGATTAAGCTTTCTGTTTTGCGGTCATGATTCACCGTCTGCACTGCTGTGTAAGCTGTTTGTTGCTATAAGGTGCAGCTGTTTTCATTTGCTAATCATCAGATCCCCCACTGAGACCCTCTGGAAGTGTGACAAGCACACGTCCTCGAACCACAAGGGAGGTAAAGCGCCTCCCTTTTGCTTACCATAAGGGTTTCTTTTTATTTCATCTCTTCAACCTTAACTTTCAGCGTATTTTAAAATCCCTGCTCACTGCCTGATTGTCTGTGAGGTATTTGCAAAGACCCAGCATGGTGGTGTAAGAGGGTTACAGTATATCCTGTTTTGTTAGATAACCCCACTGCATGGCCCATGGTTATTTGGCCAAGAACTGAGGCGGCAGAAGCAGCCCACACTTTGGCATCTCAACACAAAATAAGCAGTTGTGTGAACACAAAGCATTCCTTGAGCAGGTCTATATTTAGCGTTTCTGTTCAATTTGTGGATCCTGAGCAGCTTGTGCACAGGATTGTGCTTAAGCCTACATCACGATGTTACAATCTGGCGGCTTAATTAAAATAAACAAACAGGTTAACAATAATTCTCTTAATCCCTCAACACCATCCCACAAATGTGATGAAATCCTTGCTCAGATGCTGCTGCCATCCATATTTAGAGTTTGTCTCAATTGGCCGTGCAATTCATTCATTTAAGCAGTGAAAGGCTAAACAGGCATCCGCAATGAATGACTGGCACACACTTCTAAAATCCTGTCCAACATTCATGATGTACAGGAATAGTTTTATGTTAAAATGGATCTTTAAAAAGGACAAACAATTTACAGAGAGTGTAACATTCATAGACCGACAAGTTCATTCACTTCCAGAAACCAATCATGAAAATATTTGTAAAGGAGACAACAAATGAGGTGGTACGTGATGGCTTTCTTCAATGAGTTTCAGAACATAAAGAAAAATTAAAACTCCTCAATATGTGCATCCCACTAAGTGGAAAACCAGAAGCAAAACAGATCAAACGTCCGTCAAAATCTAAACAATAACTTTGTGTATTTTACTAAACCCGTGTTTAGTAAAATACACATTGTTTTATTACCAATGGAGGAAATGTGATGGATGCAGTCTCTTAACAGAGGCACATGTCAGCAAGCTTCTACGAGCTTCTTTCATCAACAAAGCCCATTTATTGTCCCCCGATGTGCTACAGACAGCTGTTGTTGTGGTTGTTGAAAAGAAAGGCCTCGGTGAAGAAGACTCCTGTTTGTAAAACGGCATAAAAGGTCATGCTAGTTGTCATGGCAGCCGAAGCTAATTGCTCTAACGCGACGGTCTCTGACAATGGACGGCCATGGACGAGCTGCAGACAGGAAGGACAACAAAATGTTACCCGGCAAAGCCTGCAGCTGATATCATTAATCTCGTTGCATACTACAGAAGAGCAGGTTTTGCATGATGTTAGAAGAAAAGCACATTTTTACAGAAAATTATTATTGGAGTTGTGGTTTTGATGTCATGCAGGAACTGCGGTTTTTGCTCATGAGCATCAACTTAAGTGCATGACTTCAATCTGCAACAGCCTGGCCCAAAAACCTTGATGCATAGAGTCTCTGCTGCTGCTGGGTGCTGTCAGGAAAGCAAGTCAGTAAATCTGCCAGCGTTACTAAGAAAAGCTGAGGGTCTGTTAGGCTAAATCAGGCAGGCAAAAAAACCACGTAACCCCGGCAGTGAATCAGAGAGCAGAACGCTAGACTCATCCTTGGCCGCCACACACAAACACAGACTTGCACGTTCATGTATTGCGTCTCCGTACACAGTGCGTGCACAGGCGCAGGGAGACAAAAAGTGGCAGAAGCGCAAGCAAGCACCCACACACCCATCTTCACTTTGCTGTTCTTAAGCAAACAGCCTGAGGCTCAGAGGATGAGCATGTCAGTGGTGTGGGCTGACATTCTGTCACACAAAGAGAGCGGATGGAGACACATGCCTCTTCAGCAACCCCCTGTGCGTTTCGGCTTACACGCCAGCACCGCCTCGTGTCTCATCACTTCATCTTTGTGGTGCACACATAGACATTTTTTGGATTCCTCAAACCATTTATATATATTTTTTCTGTCAACTCTGACATTACAGGGGGAGAAAGAAAAGCTGGGTGAAGATATGACACCTTTAAAGCCATGCAGAAGTAGGTTACGTCTGCTGGAGCTGATTCTCATTACAGAAAAGAGGAAATAAAAAGTAAAAAGCGTACGATTCGCAGGTAGTTTGTCTGTAGTTGGGCACCTTTAGCATGATGAGTAGGCAGACGAGAAAAGAGGGAGGGAGGAAAGTGGTGTGCCAGGGCTCTCCCTCCTCACAGCCAAAAACCCTCTAATTAAGGAGCACGGAACAGAGAGTGCGAGAACAACAGCTCTGCATCGTCACATAATGATTTTCTTATCAACCGCAGCACAGAAAACGTGGCGTGCCTCTCATCTGATGGATGTACGCGTGCATCTCTGTGCTTCCAGGGAGCGTCTCAGGAGACGTCTAGTCGCACCAAGAAGCATGCAAGAGTCTCAGTGCTATTTTTTACTGCTCTGCAGCAGCAGGATGCTGCAGAAAAAAACAGCAGAGAGCAACAATCGATGAAAAGCAACTAAAGCATCAGAGGACGAAGCTGCCACCCATATTAACACATATGCCGAGAGCTCATGTGATTATTAACATTTAGAGGGAGGTTTTTCATGGGAAGTTACATTGCTGGATGTTTGAAACCTTACCGCTCTGCAAAATATTAATTATGTGCATATTTATGGAGCTTGTTGTCATTCTTTGCCCTCTCATCCAGATGGACCAGATGGCATGAAGGCGACGGAAAGTACCTGTCCATAGGGGCACAAAATTATTTTAATTTTCTGAGGAATCCTCTGCACTAATTTCCTTCAATATGGCGTCAGGTTATGTTGCTGGGATTTTTCTGTGATGGACCAACACAATGTTTTGCATAACTGCAAAAATGAGTTGTGGTTTTAGATTTTTCAACAAATTACAAATTACCCTCCCCTCTACTGGACCACCCCTAAATCAGTGGTGTCCACACTTTTTACTCACCAGCCACAGAAAAATAAAATATAGTTTTAAAGTTAAACAATTATTTTAACTTTAAAGGTAAAGTTAAAATTGGTACCAACTTATTTCTACCTTCGTGCAAAATCTAACTTTTGCATAAAGTTAGATTCAGTTAAAGTTAGAATCAATTAAAACTTGATTGTTACTCCGAAAACAAAAAGGGATCTTGCCTCATCTTAAAAATCGATACAATTCCTGAATTTTTTTATGACAATTTATTTTTCTTTTCTTAGCCTGAAAAAAGTAATTGTTTAGGCTTATTATAAAGAAGTGCAGTTATTCTTTGTAAACACTTCTTAGATTTAGCCAAACCTGCGTGGGTGGTATGCTTTTGAGTTGTTCTGTTTAATGTCAATATTATGAAAGTAAGCAAAAGTAGTTGATAAAATATCTTGGCGTTGTGACATTTTCCATTCTAAGATTCTAAGGTTGCAAATAAAACCCAGTGAAGTCTCCCAGTTGGTAAATAGAGTCCATTTCAACAGAGTATGAACTCGTTTCTGAAGGCCTTAGATGTTGCTTAGAGAACATTAGTGAACAAACATCATTCTGAAGATCAATGAACACAGCAGAAATGCGAGGGTTTATCGTCATTATGGTCTTTATTTATTCAAGTGTAAGTCACAGAGATTAAAACATTCTCCTTACAAAGAGACTAACTCGCAAACGCTTTAAAGCAGAAAAACAAAATACAATATTAAAAAAACACATAATATGTGTCAATAATATGCAACATAAGCTGCTGTGTGGACCTTTGAAGCAAGGTGTAATTTTATAATACAATCCAATGCTTTGAACATCTGAAAGAGCCTTGTTCCATCCAGTATCTGGTCATGAAAAGATGATTAAGAGGCCCTTGGTAACTCTGGAGGACCTGCAGATCCACCGCTCAGGAGGGAAAATTTGTTTTTAATGTTACATAATGTTACATTTTAATGTTCTCCACATATCTGGTTGTTAAGGCAGCAAAACAGTTGAAAAAACGTCCGAAAAAAATCCCTTCTGCAGTTTTTCACAAACATAGGGGATACAGAATACATTTGGAAGATGTTGCTCTGCAGAAAGGAGCTTACGTGCAGAAGACTATATGGAGGAAAATCCGAGACAAAATTTCACACTAATATAATCATCCGATAAAATAAAAAGCAAAACAAGAAAAATCAACCTTTCTCAATTTGAATTCCTGGCAAAAACAAAATGCATTTTTGCTTTAACCCCAGAGAATATCATGTCAGGGAGACGTCCTCGTATAGTAACAAACCAGACAAATTCACATGAAGTATTTCATGTGTAAATGTAGGTTAGATTCAAAGAAGCGAAAGTAATTTCAGACATGCTTCTACTTTGAGCTACTTTCGCTAGATTCTGCTTTATATCACACACAATCCTGCCTCACTATTCGCGTTTAGGTTTTTGGATTATTATTATTAAGTTGCATCATGAGGCGATCTTTCTACTTTAGAGAACCAAAATGCTGCAGAACTCTTTAAAACGCAAACAATTCAAATCAACCTCTTGTTGTTTTTGTTTTTTATTTGCTGAATGGACGGATGAGGACATGTGGATGAATTTTACTGATGAAAGAGGGGCAACACAGGGTGGGGTGGCAGATGGGTCCTACTCTGATTAGAGGTTAGCAGATGCCCTGAGATCCTACAGGCCACAGAAATGCCCCGCAGACACTGACGTCAGAGTGGAAAACAGGCCACTATCTGACTCTGTTCCATCACGTGTGCACGCTTTCAAACTAAATAAAAGTTAAATGTGCTTCCTGACTATTTTTGGACCAAATCCAAATTTGAACGTTTTTTTTCTTTTTTTTTTTACATTTTGTCACATTACAGACACAAACTAGAGTGAGGGAGGAGAGCATCATGAATGATGGGTTGAAAAAATGCCGAATAAAATCTTCAAAGTGCGGTGTGCATTTTCATTCGGCTGGATTCATTCTGATATCCCTAAATAAAAGCAAACAAAATCCGAAGTCACTTCAGAAAGCATTTACGCAATAGTAAATGTGTAAACTTACAGTTGTGAATAGCAAATTTATGGAACAATAGTTTACACAATAGTTGTGTAAATTAACCTTCTATATCAATCCAGCTGACTTGAAGGCCTCAGAGGTTTCAATACTATTCTATCCAAATTTGTTTTTGTGGGGGGAAAAAATGTTCTAAACTTTCAATCATTGTCCTTCCACTTCAGGATTATGTGCTAGTTTGCACTGGTCTATTCCATATAAACGTGCAAAGTGAAAAATCTTCTCAGTATGCCATGCACTGTAATGCAAGACCAAAACATTCGGAGCGAGTTTTAAATAGGATATATTTGGTCCAGCATTGATTTGGTCGGTCTTCACACAGTTAACAAAGAACAACTTCCCTTTCAGCTTTTCAGCCATCACCACACAGCAGTACACATTCCTCCACAATATGACATCATATTTTAGTGAAAGACAAAGCAACCTCCTCTCTAACTGTTGCAGTGAAAACTGACCCAAACGCATTATGTCGGAAACTTTGAGGGGAGAGAGAAAGCTGGGAACAGAAATTTAACAGTCCTTTAACTAGGGGAGCAGCGCCATCTAGTGTACAAGCAAGGTGATGTCAGGGACTAAAAAACATATTTCACTCATTGTTCTTAAGGCACAAACTTATCTGATATTGCATAAGGCACAAAATCAGTTAAGGTGTATTACTGCAAAAATAAAAAACACAAACTTCTGGTTTTGTGTTTTTTAAGTAGGATTTTTTTAATCCTACTTAAAAAAAAAACAAAAAAAAAAAAACAATGTAATTTACTTTATAGTCATTAGCCAGGCACAGTCATTTTTAGTAATTTTTGGTACACCTCTTTAAAAATAAAATGTAAATTTAAATAAATATATTTTATGGGAAATGTTATGTTCAAATATAATTTCACCAAAAACGTTTTCATGCTTTCACACTTTTTTTGAAGAAGAAAACTGGAAAAGAATAAAAATTACTAAATATTTTAAGCCTTTTCAATAAACAGGTCTGATTGTCAACAAAATAATTTACAGGATAATTTATCTGACTCTGCCATACATCCTAGAAAACAATCACTTTTCATTCATACTCTGTTTCCATCCAGTGCAAATAAATTGCTACAAACATAGCAGTCTCTAATTTTTTTTAGCATCCCCGGTGAAAAAAAAAAGAAATGTGTAAAAGTTCTTTAAATAAACTAATCTTTAATCTCAGCCACAAAAAAAAAATCAACCTTCACCTAAAAATGATGTTCAACACGTAAGAGTATTTTTGCTTTTTTGAATGACAATTTTACTTTTTTGTATTGTTCAAAATCTAACCCACATTTTTCTGTTGGAGTTATAAATAAATAGGTAAATAAACACAGGTCCATTTCTCCTAGTCAATGGATACAGGCCATTCCACCAAGGCGTACGTTCCAGGAAAGCCGCTTTTCCACAACATCCTGAGTGACGCTTGAAACACTTAGAACTCAATGAGGTAAACAGGATGTTTTTCAATGTGTGATCAGAATAAGGTGACAAAAGATTAACTTAGTTTTTCTACTTTCCACACTTTTTTACAAAGACTGCAAAAACTGTGAATGTTGCTGTATACACAAATAAAATCAATACCAAACTCATCTTGCTTATTGGCTTAAAGTCAATCAGCTACATAACAGGAATAAAGCAGAAAGTCTTTGGAAAAGCTAAACGTCTCCCTCGATTTAGCCCAGGTCATACGCAAAAAAAAAAAAAAAAACACATCTTCAAGTATCTGTGGCGAACATTACTGTTGAAAAGTGCAGATTTGCAACTGGGAACTTTATTGAGAGCAGGACTAAGTCTGTCTAAAAATTGTTTTTGAACAATCAGTCATCCTCTGTTACACCTTTAAGACGAAGCTCCTCTTGAACCCTGAACAGGTACGCTGGATCCGGATAACCAAAACTGTAAAAGAAAGAGATGAGCAAAGGAAGAGATCTCATTGGTTTTGTGAGTTCCAGGGCTGCTGCAAAACCATCCAACAGTTAATGCAACATAAATAATCTGAACTTTATTGTTTTATTCTTTAGCAGCCAGTGTTGCCCATAAAACAGCCCAAATAACTATGACCTGATGTATCTGGAAAACCCGGCTTTCTTGTTGAGGAGGACAAGCATTGGGATTAATAAAGTATTTTTTCACAAACTTAACTGCTTTACTTTTTATCATGGAAGTTAATCTGGTCTTAAACGATTTTATTGAAAAATACATCATGTTCATGCAAAGCATCGAGAGTTGGTTTTCATAAGAATGAAGATGTAAAGAGCTTCTTAACTACGTAAACAAAGTACGAACATTTTGATCCCTGATGCACTTGAGGCTCTTTGAGATAAATCACTCTGCCATGGTGGGAAAAGCGTTGAACAGCTGCTGGACTGGTTGGGCAAAGTTCCTCTTACAGGACGTTTTGTTGCTTTTTATTATTCATAGAAGTTCAAAAGTAAGTCCACCACTTCGCACAAGAAGCAGGCCTACATATATTAGCATAACGCAGGTCTCATGGAAGAGTTTGCTATTTTTCCTGTAAAATGTCAAGTTGCTTTTAATGTTTTCCTTGAATAATTAGAAATACACGTGCCAAAACCTCACACCTGCTTGCTGCCGTCCCTGAGCTAGCTCTGCAGTGGTGAAAACCCGATTCCTTAGCTGCTCACTCTTTCTGAAACGAACTGGCTGGACTTTCACGGCGCTTCATCACAACAGCTGAATGTCTGACCTTGAAGTTGTTGTGGTTTATTTATTTCCAAAAGGACATTGCATGTCACATAATAAATATATAGAGGCTAGTTTTAGTCCCTCCAAGTACAATCGACATGAATACAACATATTACCGTGGAACGCAGACATGTTTCTTCCAAAAAATATGTACTATTATTATTATTGTCATAAATAAAAAACACTTTTTAATCTAAAAGTTACACAGCTAAAAAGAATAAAAAGCAATATAGCACAAAGGCTTACTACAATGCAAATAATACAATAATCACATAATCAGTGCCTGCATATTTGATTATCTAAGAGCCATACTTTTAAGTTAGTTTAACTTTAAAAGTCTCATACATTCGTACGCTCTCGGGAATTTTATTCCGGCCATAAGAAGCTTTCACTGAAAATGTCAGAACTATGTCTAATGCACCAAATGCAGAAAATAACTGTTCAAGGCCTCTGCTATTCCATCATCAGGCCTTGTGCCTGGTGATTCTAGAAATCGTGTAAATCTAACTAGCAGCAGTATCCTTAATTATGAAGCAGTTTTGATGAAAAGCCATAATGACAGCAAGCGTTTCAGTTCAGGTAATAATGTCACGTCAAGCAATCTGGTGCCAATGTGATAAACATCAACTGGAACTAAGATTGGGGTGGTGCGCAAACAGACCGTGCAAAGCTTGATACACAACTATAGAAATACGTTTGAAAAAATAGGCAGCAACATAAATAAATAAGCAGTTAGATAAAAATAGACCTTGAAGTGGGACCAAGCTTGCTAAGCAAAGCAGAACATGAGGGTTTATGAGAGTTGGAGGCCCAAGAGATCTATAATTTAAGACTCAAGTTGATTTGAGTGTTTTTAACCTTCTGTCGACAGAAAATAACAGCACAGCAAGATAGGTATTTTCAGGCCTTCATCTATGTTTTAGAAACAAGTCTTGTCTTTTTTAAGAAGCTCTTTGCCACTACTTTGTTGTTGTTTATTGACTCTGTTAAATGCTGGATTATCAATTGTCCATTGGCCAAAAAGACTCTTATGAAGAGTCTAAGAACAGTCTTTATGACACTTCTGCAAAAAGGAAGCTTTCAGACTTTGGAAATAGATTTTCATATCAAGAGACAGTTCTATTTATACAGATTTGCAGATTTTTTTTTCTTTCTTTTTTTAAATTTAATGCAATTCTCATATGATCATTTCATAATGGGATTGTTTCAGATGTCATTCACAAAATGGATCACCTACCTCTCTGGACCGCCATTTATGCTGGTCTTGTGGTGAATGTCGTTCCAGGTAATGACATTGTTGAGGCCTGTGGTGGCCGACCGTCCGACGGTAAAAGTAAGTCTTCGGTCGAATGCTTTCCTGAGCAGCTTCAAGACCTTCTGACCCTCTGCACAATCTGGCAGGTAGGCAGTACGAGAGGTGCTGCTGTACCTCACGCCAGGATTTGGGTGCTCAGCCTGGAATAAAGACAAAAAATCTTTTTAGCAGAGCACCAAAACGTTTCATCATAAAAATACAAAAAAAAATAAACATTTATTTTGCATATCTATAAGTTTCTGAGCCCTGATTGTCTTGATGTTCTCTCCAATTAAATTAATTAGTGACTAGCATTATTGGGGCCTGTCAAAGCAGAGCATTGAAATGCCTTGCAATTGTGAACAATAACAATAATTGTTGTTCATTTGTTGCTAAGAGATGAGTGCGTTTTCTTGTAACTACAAGCCACGAAGTAAACATCTGATTTTTACTTTTGCAAAATTTACCAACTATAAATTTCCTCTGTCTAAGCAGATAAGTAGTATTTCAGAAGAGATTATATTTTATAAACAATATTACTTGTCATTAATTTGGTGTTAAGAGATTAGCGGGGGGGTTTTCTAGTAACAAACTGCCACGAAGTATAAATCAGATTTAAACTTTTGTGTTGAATTTTTGTTTCATAATCTATTTACCAACAATGACAAAAACAATTATCACATTTCTGAAAAATTCATCAACTGCACAATTCTTGCTAAGTGCAGTTACTATTTATAATAAATAGTATTTCAAAAGATCAGAAGGAATCTTATGTTTTTTGAACAATAACAATATTTGTTGTTAATCACTGCCTTGCATCTTGGTGCAGAGTTGATGTGCTGGTACCTTTCACATTGTCCAGTTTCAGGTTCCATGTCTGGTGCAGTCGACTGAGTCATCTGCCTAAATAGTCCTGAGCAAATGTAGCCACATTGATCCCAGTTTCTCCTGGTGTGCTGCCAGAGTGCTTGAAGTTCATCTATGTTTCACAGTGTACAGCACTGGCCTTTACATGAGGAATACTTGAATCGTTCCTCTTGCTAACAGCTTTAATATGCAGAAAGTTGAGCAATTCGGCTCCAGAGTTTCCTGTTTTGCATTGATTAATATTACCTGGCTGGAAAATGCTTGAAACAAGCTCAAGAGCTCAAAACATGACCTGGTAAAGGTAAATGCTCAGTCTGCATGAATACAGGTACTTTGAGAAAAAACTGCTTTTTCCACAGTCTTGTTATCATGTTGACGTCCTCTGTTGCCGTGTATAAAGCACATGCTTTATGGGTTGCCATAACACATTATGCACATCAGTAAACAATACATTTGACATGGTTGCTCTCCAACTTTATCCCAAAGGTATACAGTTGTAAAATGGTTTCAACAACTAATGGTGCGTCCACTTATTTATCAGCTTTCACTGTCAATTATTAATCGCTGTGTGGATGTTAAATCAAGCAGAAAGGACGGTTCTTCTCATATCATTACGTCCGCACTGTTTTCAACAACGTAATGACGTCAATCCGAAGCGTTTACTCGGATGCCTTAAAAGGAACTTCCCCACTGTGATTAGAGAAGGAAACACAGCGCCCCCTGTTGATAACTTATGTTCCAAACAATTACCAACAGAGCAGCAGCTGCAGCAGCGTGAGGAAGTTGCCAGACTCACCCCTTGTATCCCCCCTGGGAAGCTGTACTGGATGACGATCGAGCCGCAGTTCTCGAAGCCCGGCAGCTTCACAAAGCTGCGGGTCACCGTCATCGTGCCCGGCGGCTGGGTCCCCGTGTACACTCCGTGGAAAGTGTTGCATATCGGACATGCGGGCTTCAGTCTGAAAACTGAGTCGATGCACTCCGAGCAGAAAGAGTGCCGACACTTGAGCGTTTTCCTCCGCTGAATCCCCTCCAGGCAGATGGCGCAGTCTCCCGTGCTGTCGGCGCGCTTGCTGCTGTTGTTTGCCGGGTTTTCCATGGTTTCCACTGAGAGTCAGACATTCAGCAGCTTCCTCTCCGGGTCTGACTCCTTGGGGGTGGGATACTTCTGAGCTGTGACGAAGGGAAAAGGGCGTCTAGTTCAAGTCTACTGGATGACAAGCCGCCCTCGTGCCAGGAAGTGGTAAGCAACTCATCTCTGATTGGTTGCATGTCGTTTTTTTATTATTATTATTTCTCCCGCCCATGTTATGTTTTAACAGTTGCAATGAAAGGTAAAGTAACGCCTGCTTTCTGTTGACATTTAAATCGTTCGCTTTGTACTTCAGATTTACACTTTTGTAAATCAGCAGAATGAAGCTGGTGCTTTTGACATCAGCTTCATTGTGCGTTTGCTTTTACTTCTGTTTTTGTAACCTGAATAAACTACATTCTTTTAACAAGGTTTCATTCTTAAAGAATATGCATGTGAAAAGCTGAGCTCTTTAACAAGTAACTACTTCCCTCCACTTTATGAACTTCATCCTACCAACAGGACAGCACTTAGGTGTTATTATTGACCTGTTAAAACATCACCCCATTTCATTCAAAGTCGCCTGATAGTTCAAATGTAATACCATGTTCTCTAATATAAGATACTCTGATTCTTTGGAAAACAAACGGGCCCACAGCATCACAGATTCCCCGCTATCTTTAGCTATTTGCATCATCATTAACACTGTGTGGGGGAGATTCTGGTCCACACATTCATCCCGTCTTCTGCACCAGATCTGATCAAAGTGTTTCTTGCAGACATGCTCAACCTTCATCCAGTTAAGCAATAACTCTAGACCTGAAAAACAGAAAGTCAGAAATTAATAATTAAAGGTCAATAGACACTGAAAAAAAAAAGAAAAAAGAAAAAGAGAGTATGACTTTGCCATAAAGTTTTCCTTAATTTTACCATTTGTTACCAAGGGCTATGATTAATGTTTACTAAAGATGCAAAAATCATAACTGAATCTACAAGTCACTTCAAAACACCCTTGCTGGATACTTTTAATAAAACCTTCTTCCCCACCTGGTTCAAGTCAGTGAATCTCCAACATATGAATGCTTCTAAGACCTTGAAGATGTTGCCAAACTAATGTCCAAATGTTTTAAAACGTCTGCCAGTTAGTAGGAACTTTAAATATTGTGCTGAAATCTGACATGTGAACCTGCCTTTTTATTTGACAGAATATGTTTAAACCTTGAATGTGAAACCACTTCTAGTCATGAGAAGTTTATATTAAAGAAATAAAAGTATCCAGCAAGGGTGTTTTATTATGTTATTTTGTTGGAAGACTTCCCGGAATAATTTTGCATTTTCTATGCCTCAACTTCTTGAGGATAGAGCACTAACAATGTTGGTCATAAAACACTAAATATTTTGTGTGTAAAACTACTAATTTACATGCAAGATATGAAAATATCTCAGAAACCTGTGGTCATAGAAACCTGAAAAAATGTGTAATGATACCTCTGTGACTTTAATGTTGAAAGTAATAACCTCCGCCGCCATATTTGCCATCATCAGTTACTTGGGACTCGGCAGCATAAAACATACATACCTTTTATTCAGGACCCTCATTGAACATCGTGGACAAACCCAAACAGAACTTTTATTCAAGTATTAAAATGTGGCCACATCATTCTGAATACCAACAAAGTACAAATCAACACAATTATAAAAGCGGAACAGATTTTTGTTTGACTTAACATTCGATTTGCAAAATATGGAATCCAGCCATCCACGTCTTCTTTTTTCCCTTCTTCAGGTTCAGTATGCATAGAAAGGTGTGCACAGTAGCTTTGATTAACTACAATCCTGTGTCCCAAAAATGTATCGATTGGTCCCTTAACTAAAATACAAAGGGGGCAAGAACATAACAAAAGCATTTGATGAGCCATTATGACTATTTAAATCAGGAATTATTTTCAACCAAAACCAAAAAAGCTGCTGTATTTGCAAAGCACATTCACACTGAAAGACTGGGATCTATTTCTAAAATGAATGTTTTTGGACAGAAGGGGGGGTGATATTTTTTGGACCAGATTAGGTTTTACATTTAATCCTGTGGAGTATTTGTCTTCATAGACACTGGAGGTTTCTATTCAAACAACACTGCAAAAGCACTCAAAATCCTCAACATTCACCAAAGTCGTCATGGCTGATTATTTAATCAAAAATGAATATAAGGAAGGCACAAGAAAATGAGATCAGTGACCCGCCTCTAATCAAATCAATCACTAAACTCTCCTATTGTTGGTTACACATTGATAGATTTACAGCAGTTAGCGCATTTCGAATAAAACGATTCAATAGGCAAATTTCCTAGTCTGAAAGGAACTGAAGCATAGATATTTAAAGAGATTTTGTGCCTCTGATTTGGTTCAAGTGATCTATATGCCCTTCAAAGTTGACATCGTCATAAATCTGCTAATTCGGACCAGTGTGTTCCTATCAAAGTGAGGTAATGGGCCGAACCCCTGGGAGACATCTTGGAAAGAACAGGAGTGACAACTGGAAAAAACACAGTGGGAACTTCCAACACTTGCTGAAAGGTGCTGCCATGAGACATCATTAAACATTCCTCCTATTTTAAAAATCAAAGTACATCCCGAGATAAAGGTCACGCGTAGCATTTTCTAAGCAGCTGACGTGAACGTGTTGCCAGCTAATAGCTAATGGCTGCATAAACCTGTTTGCTTTGAGCATCCAGAGGACGCAGATTTCCATTACTTCTACTTCACCAAAACAAAAATAATAGTTACCAAAGTGCCTGTGAGTGCTTAAGATTGCAATAACATCAGAACTGTAAATTGTTGCTAAAAGCAGTGCTCTTCTGCTGTAAGAACCAAGTACAATCATTACAACAGATACTTAATAACAATCAAAACGTGTTCAACAAACATTTCAGTGAGACACAACCAAACATGTGCTTTTAAGACTTAAGAGTACTCCCAAAGGAGGGAAATGAACATTAATAGAATGTAACTTAAATGATCTAACATCTTGGAACATTTATTCTGACAAGCTCCTAAATAAGTGCATCATAAATTAGGCCTGGTGTTAGCAGTGAGGGTTTGAGGATTTGCACTGCATTTAAGAGTATCCTCTTCCACGTGTAGCACTGAATCACTTGAACGCTCGAGAAAAATAACCAAAGTAGAACAGCAGTGGAGGAGATACGGATTCTTCTGCAGCAATAGACGTGTGTCTGATGAGGTGATTTTCTTTTTGTTCCGTTTTGTGGTTTTAATCTTCAGCTAACTTTTAGGCATCAGGCAGTCTCAGAGCAAATCCTGCAGCTTGGTCCACAGTGAGGACATGTCCAAGGAAAAGTCCAACAAAGTCCTGGAGGTCTCATGTGGTCAGTTCATGGTGATGCCTTTTTCTCTGAGCTCCTCTGTCACGCGCACCAAGTATGTGGGGTCTGGGTAGCCAAAGCTGCAAAAAGAAAGGAAAAGTGGCTAAAGTTTCTTTGTTTGCTCAACTGGCAACAAAAAGTACCATGAAACTGCATTTTAATCTGTCCATGTCCACCGAAGCCTTTCTTTATAGACTGAACTCCCTTGCTAAGGATTCTCCAAAACCCAGACAACCGATACGTACCAGGGTGGCCCGCCGAATATGGATGTCTTGTGGTGAATGTCATTCCAGGTGATGACATTTTGCAGGCCCGTAGTCATGGAGGTTCCAATGGTGAAGATAAGGCGCTGTTCGAAGGCTCGACGCAGCAGGCCCAGCACGCGGTTCCCTTCTGGGCTGTCAGGGAGGTAGGCCACGCGATCTGTTCCTGGGTATCGAACGCCAGGGTTTGGGTGATCGAGCTGTGGGTGAAATGAACCAGAAACTGTGTGAAACTGCACCATCAGTCCGGGGTGTTTTCCCTTCACATCCTCGTGTATCGTTTAAAAAATGCCAACGAAGCAGCAAGCGTCAAATAAAAGCTGAACATTTGTTATGGAATAAGTCATTTTATGAATCGAATGCAAAACAATCCATCTTTTAAACGGTCAGGCCTTAAAGAGACGGTCACCGGAGTAAAATGTTTGAAATCATCTTAAGTCACCATTTTAATCAAAGGTCTACCCGTGAGCTGTAAGCCTCAATGATGAGCTTAAAGGGATCAACATGAAATAGCGAACGCCCTGGTGTGGCAAAAGTATTCATACCCTTTGAACTAAATTTATGCATTTAGGTGTTGGTGATTCACTAAACATTCTGTACTGCTATCGGGATTTAGTTATGTATTAAATAGGTGATTTCTGCTCAACAAACATGTGCTTCACAGATCTTTATTTAGATTAGGGATCTTCAAATGCAGGCCTCAAGGGTCAGTGTCCTGCAACCTTCAGACGCGTCTCTGCTTCAACACCCCTGACTCGGATAATGAGGCCATTAGTAGGGCTGTGGAAAACTTGAATCGCTGAATCACTGTGAGGAGGTGATTCAGCCCTTTGATTCAGGTGAGTTGGAACAGAGACGCATCACAAAGTTACAGAAAACTAGCCCCTGAAGCCTACATTTGAAGAATGTAATTTGGACAAATCAGAATAAAAGGAGGATAAACCACTTTCCTTTGGTTTATCACATACATTTCTAACAGCATAGTCTGATGTTTGTTGTATCAAAGTGCAAAAAATGTGAAAGTAATTTTGAGTGCCATAATAGCCAGAAGATGAAAGGAGAGAAGAAATGAGTGAGAGGTAACGCTACGATACAAAATAAAGTCAGCAGCAGTAGCAATTCAAACACTGCATTTGCAAGCCGTTTGATCTATCAATGTCAATCTGAGAACTGATCGGCAGAATGATGATAAAAGTACATGTGATGTGCATAAGTGCTTCTTAAAGTGAAACTCATAGTCAGGGGATTAACACAAAATTAAGATGTGCAAGTGGCTGATTACTTTGTTGTCACTTTCCAAGCCTATTCAAAATCTCATTTGTAGTTTTAAGTTAATTCACTTAACCATAAATGTTACACAACATGGGGGTTTTACACTTCCTCAGTGGTGATTCACAAGGCGAGGATCACGGTGAGCGTCAGTCACATTTACATGTCGACGTAAAACTTCAGATATTATCTCGAAAGGGAAAGCTTAAAACCTGTTTGACTTCCTGTAAATGAAAAGCAGATTTTTGAGTGTGGGAACAATGCTGTCTAGGTCATTAGATGCTATCTGGCTTTAGATCAATTATGTGAGAAGAAACTGACGTAAAGGGA